GATGAAAACGCTAAAGTCACAATTAAGATTAAGACCGTCTTATAATGAACTGATAAAGGAAATTACAAAGGAAGAATATAAAAATAAGAATATCAGAGATGCGATAGACAGAAACGCTTATTATTTTCGCGACAGTCCATTAGGAACAGTTTATGATAATAATACCGTAGATTTGAGACAACAACATTTTCAAAAAATGTTAGAAAAACCTAAAACAGTCGCTCATTTTGATATGTCAAAGGACGATGAAATGGATGATTTAAGAGACGGAGCAATACAAACACTAAGTGCCACAATGGACGACGCCGAGGAACATCACGAGCAACAAATCAGTCAAATGTCAGAAGATCTTAGACGACAATTTTTAGATGGTTTACACGAAAGGGCACGTGTAGCCGCAGATTGGAGAAAAACAAAATATGATACACCATCAGAGGTACAATCAATGGCAACTGCTAAATCAAACGACTCTGAAGACTTACCGCCATTGGAAGAAATAACCACTGAAAGAATGACAGCTGAAGCCGCATCAAAAGAATATGTTAAAGGACTTGTAAATCGTCAATCAAAAGATGTAGCAAGGAAAGTGGCATCATCATTTGTCAAACATTACTGAAAATAAAACAAAAGAGTTAGAAAAAAGAAGAGAACAAACAAGGGACAACGCTGACAGCTCATCCACAGTCCCACAAAGACAAACAAGAACACATAAGGAAACCATTGACTATTCAACTGATATAAACCATTCGAAAGGAAGCACAGTAAAGGAAGAAGACATATTATTTCAATTACATTTAAGAGGAGCAGGACTTACTGAAGAACAGGAACAACAATATTCAAACACAAAGAAAAAGGGGAAAGGTAAAAAGGAAACAGGTAGAACTTATTTAGTTGGACTGGTGGAGAAACTTATAAACAGCGGAAAATGGACAACAGAAGTAAATGATGAATTGCTAAGAAAAAAATGGAAGATTGGAGAGATATTAAAGGCAAAGGCAAAGCAACAAAGGATTAAATCATTTATATAATTTATCAACAATTATATAAAATGATTAACAACCGCAAACACGAGTTAAGGAAACGCCCCACATATGATGAAATGCTTAAACAAGCAATGACAAACAAAATAAAAACAACAGTTATACTGAAGAAATACAAGAAAGAAATGTTATTCAATAATTTTGATTTTGATAAAATGGATTTAATGAATTATAAAAATAAAGAAAGATATATGAACGCTCAAGTTATGATGGCAGACAAGGCAACACAAACGCTTAACAAAGAAAACGAGGCAACACAAACAGACCTATATGATAAGGCGACACAAACTTATAACTTTGATGATGTGACAAAACTATTAGGTGGGTCTTCAAAGAGTTTCAAAAGCAAAATGATAACCAAGGCTGAAGCAGAAGCAGAAGCATTTACATATGACCCTGATTTATATGATGATGACGATGACGATGATGATGACAAAAAAGATGATGACATTGATAAATATAGAAAGACATTATTTATGTTGATGAGGATTATAGAATTTATGATGAGGTCAGGTTTTAGTATAGGACAAATAGTAGCACATTTAACATACCACACTACATTAACTACAATTCAAGGTTCAGAGTTGTTAGTTAATTTAACAATGAATTCATTAGTAACATCATACGATATAGCAACTGCATAATGAATTGGTTAAATACAAATGTTAGTGAAGAAGTTGAGTTAAACACTTCACCGCCTGTTAGTGTTCATAGTTCTCCTCCTATCACTGTTAATAGTTCTTCAACGCATACTGTTAATTCATCATCCTCAGAAGAAAATCCTAATTATGAAATAGCACCTCCTACCGATATGCCTGTCCCTACCGGTGTGGATGGGGACGAGTCTGAAAGTGAAAATGATGAAACTGAAAACCAAAATATCAACCCTGCAAAAACTAAAAATACTTAAAGAAATGACCCCTTAATATATTAAGAAAAAAATGAATAAGTGTATCAGAGAAGAATTGGAAAAAGAAATTGTAAAATGCCGTGGTTGTAAGATATTCAACAACAAAGTTAAAAAAGCAAATGACATATTACCTGACTATATCATTGATAATAGTTTGAGTTTCGTATGTTGTAAAAGATGCACCATTACAAAGCATTTGATGGAAAACGAACCTGACAATTTGAAAGAAATGGATAAGTGGATTTGGTATATGACGAGGTTAAATAAATGTCCGACGAAAAAGTCATTACATACAATATTTACAACTGATTTTGACAAAACATTAAAAGAGTATGGATACGATAATAGGTTAATCTTGTATTATGAAACCGCTACTCAATTTCATTTTAATTTACTTTTTAATCATAATGACGCGTATGTATCTTGTAGAGATTTTAGCATCTCGATGTGTAGGGATTTTCTTAAAATGTTGAAATGGCAATATATAAAAAACAAAGACAAGGTCGTTTATAAGCACATTTTTAATAATGAGTTTTACCGTAGATTCGTCTGTCATTTGGTAGAAAAGAAAAGGTTGATTTTAGACTGGTTTAATTATATGGATACTTATGATTTTAGTGATGATGACTAAGTTTATTAAGATTATTATCTTATAATATTATTAAACACTTGAAACCCCCAGAAAGCCATAAAATGGTCTGAAACCCGAACCTTGAAAATGTCAATATCTTAGACTGTTATTAAATGAAATAAATGTAAAAAAATGTTGATAAAATTTAGGAAAGTTCCCCACAATCAACCTTGGTGTTTTGAACAAAATGGTTTGCTTGTTTAATTGTAAACGCTTCGCGTTGCCCGCCTCGGCCCAGCCTAGTTTGAGGGAAGGGTCAGGAACACCGAAATCCAGTGCTGGGAAGGTCCGAATCCTACTGAAAGCTTGTGACCGCACCAGTTCGCCCGTGCTAGTTCGATGTTCGGAAGCCGTCCTGCTCGGAAGGTTTGAAATCCAAAACCAAGACTATCTCAGCTGCTCAGTGCCCTTGGAAAAAAAAGGACCTCTTTCTGGGGATGAGTTTTTAGTGGGGCTTGGCCTCCATAAAAAAGGGAACAATAATTGGTGTCACTGAACAACCAAGACCAACTTTGGGTGTTTGGGCACCTCCATTTCACGTGGCTGGCGGCTTGCCATGACATACATTTCTTGCTCGGTTGCTCAGCCCAAGACAGGTACATGGTGGGAATACAAACCTCCATTTGCTTAAGTACCCCGGAAAAATATCCCCAATAGACACGCCAGCAGGCGGGCTGAGGACTGGGCCTGAGGCTAGTCTCAGGCTGGCATACCTTAGGGGCTGGGCCTGCTGGATGACTTGAGACATGAGCAGGAGTTCAAGGCCTGGTCAGCCTGGGCTGAGCTGCTTGGGCAGCCGGACTGGGGGCTGGGGCACGTCAGACAGGCTTGGTAGCTGGCAGCTTGAGAGCAGTCTCAGACGTGAGACTGGGCTGAGGTGGGTTGCTGGTTGGGCTGGGCCTGAAGCTAGTCTCAGCCACGAGGCTGCGAAGTGATGGGTGGGTTGCTGGCTGCCGGGCAGCCGGACTACGCTGCTGATTGCGCCTGGAACTTGGGCTGGGCGGGCTGGGCTGAGCTGTGCTTGGGCGGGTTGCTGGATGGGCAAGGCCTGTTTCATACGCCCTCTGGGTGGCAAGTTGCTGGCTGGGCTGGGCCTGGCGTAAGACACGCCAGCAGGCGGGCTGAGGGACTGGGCCTGAGGGTAGTCTCAGGCTTTGAGACTGCGCCGAAAAGAGGCTGCTGGATGACTTGGGGGACGCAAGCAGGAGGTCAAGGCCTGGCCAGCCTGGGCTGAGCTGCTTGGGCAGCCGGACTGGGGGGCTGGGGCACAGGCTTAGTAGCTGGCCTTGAGGCCAGTCTCAGACACGGCTGCCAGCTGGGGCCGGCCTAGTCTGGCATGCCTGAGATGTGCCGGGGCCTGGGCTGGGCAGGGCGGGTTGCTGGCTGCCGGGCAGCCGGACTACGGGCTGGGCTGAGCTGGGCGGGTTGCTGGATGGGCAAGGCCTGTTTCATACACACTTGGGCCTGAGGCTGGGTGGAGTTGCTGGCGTAGCTTGAGACGTGAGACTGGTCGTTGGCCTGAGGCCAGTCTCAGACACGTTAGACAAACCGACCTTGGCACAACGGTGCTTGGGCGGGTTGCTGGTTGGGCTAGGCCTGTTTCAGACAAGTGGGCCTGAGGCTGGGTGGGCTGGGCTGACAGGCCTGGCCAGCAGGCGGGTTGCTGGTTGGGCTGAGCCTAGTCTCAGACACGTCAGACAGGCCTGGCCAGCAGGAGGTCATGCTTTTCAGGACAAAACAGCATTTTTAGCAATTGTCAGCACATTTTCGACAAAAATGGACCCATGGAGCTGGACGCCGACGAACCCCGAAAAATTTCAAGGCCCGCCGGACAGGATTTTGGGCCAGCCGACATGGGTGAGGGGGGGGAAAAGCGAAGATCTTTGGAGAAGAGATCTGAGCGCCCTTGGCCCCTTTGGGGCCGAGGCGAATTTCATCCCTGCCCCTGAAACCCTGAACTGAAAATACCCTACCTTAGAATCAATCTTTTACTAATTTTGGGGGGAGGGGGAGGGGAGGGGGGGAGGGGGGGAGGAGGGGGAGGGGGGGAGGTGGTTTAATTTGCCTGTAGACCTGAAGTGCCACTTCCATTGGAACCCACGGAAGTGCAACTTTGGGACGGGTCGTCTGTCAAGGATCATAACTCTGTCAGTGGTTCAAGCAGTGGGCCAGGTAGTTCAATGTAAATCACCTTGGGAGGCCTTGCCGTGCCTGGCAAGTAGTTAGACCCGAACGTTGACATGAGGAGATCGCACCCTTTCTCCTTTCTCGTACTTTCTCCAGCATTCGGCACCACTAGCGAGAAATTCCACCGGGTAAAAGGACCGACGAAGGTTCCTGACTGAAAGATTCCCCACTATATTAAGTTCGCAGGGGTTGAGTCCCCATTTTTTTAAGCCCCGGGCACAAACTCGCTGAGGCGCTTCTTGCGGAGAGCTGCGCCTGGACCTCTCGGAGAGTTCCAAGAAGTGCAAGGTGGACACCGAGCAGGCGACAGACAGAGCGCATTTGGCTGTGGGTCAAAGCCAATGGGATCCCATTTTGGGGTAGGTGAATTACCACCCATTTTAGAACCTATTTTAGGGGGGGTAGGGGATTTTGACCCATGGCCATTTGGCATGTGGGGCCATTTTCACGGCATAGTTTCAGGGTGTTGCTCGTTTGGTTGTGTGTTCCATGAATAATCCCGGATTTTTATTTTGAACAGAACAATGATTCGTTTCGATTCGTCCTGGCACGAATTTACCTCTTGCTAAATGTAAATGGGTTGTGGGGAGCAGACATTCCTCTCAAGCATCCAAAAAGCCATCCCAAGTCAGCCTCCGCATCTCTCAAGCGCATTGTTGTTAATATCAGAGATCTGACTCAGTGCTCCCCTTTGTAAGGTCAAAGAGCTTGACATGTTAGGAATCTTCAGAACACAACAGAGTTTTGTCTCAAAACAGGGGACCCAAAAAAAGGTGGCTTGCCGTTCATGCTCCTTTGGAGCCTCTCCCAAGAGGGTACCCTCAAACAATCGCATAAACAAAACAACACAAAGCAAGACAACAAAAAGCAAGCAAGCAAGCAAGCAAGCAAGCAAGCAAGCAAGCAAGCAAGCAAGCAAGCAAGCAAAGCAAGCAAGCAAGCAAGCAAGCAAGCAAGCAAGCAAGCAAGCAAGCAAGCAAGCAAGCAAGCAAGCAAGCAAGCAAGCAAGCAAGCAAGCAAGCAAGCAAGCAAGCAAGCAAGCAACAAACAAACAAGCAAGCAAACAAACAATCAAGTAAGCAATGCCAAGCACACACGCACGAACGCACGCAAGCACACAAGCACACACCGACACACGTGCACGGTTGCACCTAGGAATAGTTTACCGTTATGGCACCGGTCTCGCATGAATTCCCGCAAATCAGAATCAGCTGGTTATACGCAGACCATTGGCGCAAAGGTGTACAATTTGTTTGCAGGAAGTTTGCCAAAATACCCGAGTTTTTGGCACATCCTCTTGGAATGCTTGAACCCTGGAAGTCTCTGACAGGCATGCTCCAAAGACCCCAAACATCGCACAATTTGGTCTCAACATGAACAATGTACTACCGAACGTGGTGTGGACATCGTTTTGCGGTTCGGAGCAATGTGGGGTAGCCTTTTCGGGTTGCTTTGAAGGGAAAGTCGAAAGGAAGCGACAAAGAGGCGCAAAAGCATAGCCAATCGCCCCCAGCAATCGTTTTGCAGCGCTGATCTGTTAGGCGAAAGCTTTGCAGCTTCTACTGGACCCCCGGTGGAACCCGCGGCTGTCGCCGCCGAAAAGCGATCTGCCGACTGAGTCGGCGATGTTCGACCCGCCATGAGGGAAAAAGTCGGAGCGCAAGCGGCAGCAGCGGCAAACGTCCCCGCCTAAAAGGATGTTTTCCCATAGGATCTCACATCGCCCATCGTTGAGAGGAAGATTTGACGCCCAACCTCAACCACCGTACAGGAGGTAATTGTGGTTCAATGCGAGTCATCGCTGTAAAAGCCGAGGGGAGGGTGTGCTTTGGTCGGTCTAGGAACAGGCCAGGGATGAGGTGATTCCAAGTTCCGGAAAGTTTTGACGTGCACCGAAAAGAAATGCCAAATGCCATGGGCTCCATTCACTGGAGCAAAACATAATTTCAAAATGTGGGTTGAATGGAGGCACCTAGAGCTGACTTGCGTTTTGTACAGGAGGCAAAACACAGATCCCTCAGACAGGTGGTTTTCTTTTCTTTTTTTTCGGAACCCATGTTCTACTTTGTTAAGACAACTGGATAAACGGACTGGAAGCCCCCTCCTACAGGTCTTTGCAAAACTCGAACGTCGGTCGAGGATCAACAGCTAAGACCTGTCTCGTTGCACGCCAAATTCCAGTCATGCCAGCAGATGTTTCAACTCACACATGACAGAGCTCACAGGCTGCTTGTGGGGGGTGCTCATGCTTGAGGCTGCGGGGCAAAGTTCAAAAAACTCGCAGCAGCTTTGGCAGGAACATAGGAGCATTGCCCTTTACTTCTTGCCTACGCTCGCGTTTCGGAGCCTAAACCCACCCCAACCCTAAACCGCCACTAAACACACCCCAAACTTTGACAAACTCTTTGATTGCCAAGGTCCTTCAAAGCCCGTTCGGGCTCATTGAGGAGTTGCTGGACGACCCATGGCAACTGCTGGCACGAAGCTGAGACAGAAACCGCACTGCCATGGTCAATATGGCCATGAATTTTAACAGGGAACCACCTCGGAAGTGATTGGTGGACATGAATCCCCACCTAAATGGTGTCCACCAAAGGGTCCCTTACTAAAATTCATATCCATATGTGCGGGCTATGAAGGCGGTAGCTTTGTGCTTGGACAAGTTTTGGCTTCAGCAACTGCGGTTGCGAGCCGAGACCACCTGCTTCCTGCTCAACAAGACTGGGCGAGCAGTGTTGCACTCAGGGGGCGAGATACGGTACAGTGAAGGCGGCCTGTATCACTCAATCAGCAGTTGTTCATTTATTGGTGGCCGTGCCACGTGTTTTGCGATTTGGCTGACTCCTTCCTTCTGAGATGGGACCAGCCTCAGCCAGGGCTGATTCGGAGGGCCAAAACAGGGGCCCAAAGAAATTACAAGAACATTCACAAGTGGCCAAGCCTGGTCAAGGCTTACCTAGTACCGATGGCGCGCATTTTAGCACCATCCATGTACAGAAGCTACTAGTCTTCTTGACATGCAACTTCAAGTGCAAGGGCAGGGATGTAATTGTCCATGCAATTCTGGGAAGCAGAGCAACAGTTAAAAGTATCTAGTTGGTAGTGGCTTTGATTGCCTTTGCTTTGAATGTCCGCCAATTCATTGGGGTGTGTCTCAAATCCATAGCATCGGGAACCCCGCAAGGACAACACAAACATGAGGTGGTTGTTTACCGCGGGTGAACAAAAAGGCAAGCAGGTTCTTTGCGTGGCACGCGTTTGTCTTGAAAGCGATTCCTCATGGTCCTCAGCTTAGGTGGTTGACCGAGTGCTGCCTGAGTTCCTCTCCATTTGTCCAGGCGAGAGTCATCCAAGGCAAATGGCCATGAATCAAAGTCCAAATCGTGCCCCCAGTGAACATCCCAATCCCCACTAGAATAGGTTCTAAAATGGGTGGTGAATTCACCTACCCCAAAATGGGATCCCATTGGTTTTGAACCACAGCCAAATGAGTGTGTGTTTTGTGTGGAAAGTCATCATTTTTGGTGCGTCCCTGGTCACGCAAACAAGAGTAGCATGAGCATAAAGACAAGCTCTGACAAGTGCCGGAGCAATGCAAGAGATGGTAGATGACGTTTGGCCCGCATACTTTTTGTGCATGTCTGTGTGTGTGTGTGCGCGTCATTCGCGCCCATCTGACGCAGGGCCACAGCAGCTGCTGGACACTTCCCCCGAGATTCTGCATAGGCTCGCCGGGGGTGTGACTTTCTTTGGGGGGGGTACCTTTCTTAGGATGCTCAAGGGCAGCTATGTTTGGTTTGAGTCGTGTTTGCGTGTGTGGCTACACTCCAGTACGGTAGTACTCAGTGAGTCAGGGGGCTCGTAATTTGGTTGTGCCTTTTTTATGTTTCGAGGATATCCCGTTTTGGGGTGGCGTCGAAGGTGAAACCAAAGGGAACCCGCCTAATGTTGGAACTTGATTAATAAAGGGCCCCCCCTCAACAATGGAGGCACCAGAATTCTGTAGGCTCACTTTTGGGACGTCCAAACGATGGAGGATTTTGGGGCCCAATTATACTTTAGTATTGCAGCCACTTCCTTTTGGGAATTCTACTTTAGTATTGCAACCACTTCTTCCTGAGCAGACTTTTTCAATACTACTTTAGTATTGCAACCACTTCTTCCTGAGCATACTCTTTGGAATACTAATTACGTTAGTAGCCATTCAAAGGGTGTGCCTTTCAGCCAGGGAGGGCTTGAGCTAGAAAGAAACCAATTGAAAGGGGAATGCTTTTAAGCAAGTGGGCCACCAATTGGGCGACCAATTGAAAGGGGAATGCTTTTAAGTAAGTGGGCCACCAATTAAAAGGGGAATGCTATTGAGTAAAGCAACTGACAGCTTATGTTCTGGAGGGGGCTGGGGGCTTGCAACTAATGTGGTCCCCCGAAAGAATGCCATTGTGGTGGTTCAGTGGGGTCTGTGAGGGGACCCTTGTCCTGATTGTTTTTGTTTCATTTTTCAAGCACGGTTTAATGAATAATTTGCAGTTTCAGGGCTGGGGATGGTTTTCAAATTTCAGAGGTTTCAGCTGGCTTTGGGTTTTGTGTTTGAGCAACCAGTGAAAAAGGGAATGCTTTTAAGCAAGTGGGCCACCATCAACAATTTGTGGATATTTTTGGATTTGTGATTTTTTTTTTGGATTTTCCTCCCGGGGCAAAAAAGACTTTCAGTTGTGCTGGTCCCCATCAACAATGGGGGTGAACCACAATAAGGAGAAACACATTGCATGATTGACTTCCCATTACTAATCGGGTGCTAACATTATTTTAGCGGGTCCCAGTCCCATATTCGAGACAGTGCCGTTTGGGGCGCGCATGAATGGGCATGCGGCATATGGCTCCTCAATGGAGGCTTCTCACAATGATGACCGTTTTTTTGGTGGGTTGTTAACGGCAAACCAAAGGAAACAACCCATTTAAGGGCCCCTACTTGGAGAAACCTGCCAGGTTGTTTCTCCCACTTGGGCTTCATCGCAAGAGAGCCGGGAGCCCAAGCCAAACCAATGGGCCTAGGCAGTGGGCGCCATCGAGCAGGAACTTGGTGGATCAATACCGAAATGTGTCCTCAAAAGTGAAGGATCTGTATAGGGCATCATCCGATTGATCAACCAGGGGTTGACAAATCAACTGGGTTCGCATTACCATTGCCAGCTACAGTGTTCCCATGGAAACTGCCCACAGGCCCCAAGCCCCAGCGACAAGCTGCAAGGCTGGTAAGTTTGGGAGTGAAACCAGGTGTCAAAGGGAGGGCAAGTGATGTTCATTGTTACTACTCGCATTGATGGGTGTGGCTCAAATTTTAGTTAGGAGCTAAAGTTACACAGGTTTTGAGATTTTGGTCTTTGCTTCCATTTACCTAGGGGCCATCTTGGGTACATGTTTCTGAGACACAGCCATATGTCCTGCGGATTGGCGCTTGAGCATCCTTTGCGAGTAAGCATGCTTTCAAAGGCTTTGGAGTGGCCTGAAGTGGGTGCGACGGGCAAGAGGACCGCCCTCGTCCACGTCGCCGCAGTTTCGACGGATGCACCCGAAGCTTATGCACCTGCAAGGCACGGATGCTGCGCCGCTTCAGCGAGGAGTATCTAGCAGCCTTCAGCGAGGCCCTTTGTTGGGTTGTTTGTTCGGCTGTTGGGCATACTCTGAATGGCATCCGTTGGGTGCGGTCGTGTCATGGTTCAGTGGCATATGATTGCTTCGAATTAGGGCGGCAGACAACGCGCAGTCGAAACGCGCTGTTTATAGCACATGCAAGCAAGTGTGCCACGGCTGCCATGCTGTGCATTGTAATTTGATCCAATGCCAAGATGAAGCTGTTTCATGTTCACAAAATCTCGGACGAAGAACAGGTCGGGCACAACTGACTTGTAAAGCCTACAGACCCCTTGATCCCTCAGAAGCAGTCAACGTGGTTCTGAGCCACGGTTTGGGTCTTGGCTTTAAACACAGAAGCCACTCGTTTGAACAGGCGGAAGCTGGAAGCTTCATACCCATCGAGCAAGTGCGGAGGCAGGGTGCGGTTTCGCCTTGTTTCTGCGGATTGGTTGGACCAAGAGCGCGGGTTCATTTGAGTGTGTGTATGCGTCCGCGTGTGTTGGCCCGCATGGTCGTGTGACTGGTAATCGTGTCCTTTTGTTTGGTTGGGTGTTGTTTTTTGCTTCTTTTTTTGTGTGTGTGTGTGATGTGCTTGTTGGTTGGTTGTATTGATTCATTCCTTTTTGCACGGCGGTTGGTGTGTTGGTTTTTGGTTCGTTGTTTGTTTGCCCGCTTGTTTGCTTGCTTGCTTGTGCCATGCCATGACTGCTGCAGGATTCCTGAAGCAAATCGGGTGCAGTTTGCGGGAGGTAGATGTAGTTTGGCGAAAATGCAGTGGCTGGGACATGTCCAAAGCGAGGCATCGGATATTCTACGGATGTCATTCGCTTACAATGCTTGCAAGCGCAAGTGTGGTGTTGATATGTTTTGATCATGCATCACATACATCGAACAAAACTTTCAGCGAGCGTCCCTGAAGGACGGGCCTAGCGATGAAGGATCCTTTCACGGAGGTCCTTAGTTCTTAGTTCAAACAAAGTGTCATGTTGGCAGAAGAGCGGGACACGTT